TTAATTTTAAATTTTATGTTTCTGATTTTTTTTTTATTTTGTTTTAAATTTTGTTGGTTTTTTTTAAAAAAATTTTATGTTCCTCTTTTTTTTTTTTTTAATTTTTAATTTTATGTTCTTGTTTATTGTTCTTGTTTTTTTTTTTTTTTTGAATTAGTTTTTTTACTTAAAAAAAATTTTATGTTCCCTTTTTTTTGTTATAAATTTTTTTTAAAATTTTGATGTTCTTCTTTTTTTAAGTTTTTATAATTTTATATTTTTCACTTTGTTTTTTCCAATTTGTTTTTTTTGGGTAATTTTTTTTTTTGCTTTGTTTTTTCCAATTTTTTATTTATTTATTTATTAGGTTATTAATTTTTTTATTTTTAGGTTGTTAATATTTTGTAATGTTTTTAATTTATTTTCCATCATATGTATATTGTTTTATTTATTTATTTTAATTACTTTTTTTATGTTTATATTACATGTTTATATTGCATATTACATGTTTTGTTATTTTGTGTTAGGCATCGTATTTTCGTTCTGGGGCTGGGAAGAGTATGGACATTATGAGAAGTACGATGAACTCAATGGAGAGCTCGGGGCCCAGACACGTTAGATCCCGTGGTATTTCGGCCTCGGCTCGTAGAGAACGGGTGCACTATTCTGAGGATGATGAAGATGATGATGGTGATGAGGAGGAGGAGGAGGAGGATGCAGATGAGGATGTGGACGATCAGAGTGGACCATATGATGATTACGGTCCATTCAGTCAGAGGCTTGATGATGTGTATGAGACGCGTAGGGTAGACGTGCGTAAGGGTAGAGATGGTAGATTTGTTAGTAGATCTGGCACATCATCTGCGTCACTGCCGTGGATGCGGTACGTCTCATAAAACATTTGTAGTTGTGTTTTTTTTCATATAATACGTCTCATAATACGTCGTTATTGAATTTTATGTGTTTTGTTATGTGTAGTGGATGGGAAAGATGACGCAGTTGGGACACAGACTTTTTGAGGAGAGGGACAACATGACGACTGCAACAGGCAGAGCTGTTATTGATGAACTGGAACGGGCCCTTGAGCAGTGGCAGTGGGCGTCACAGAGAGATTATTGATATGTCGGCAGTGCATTTATAAAACATTTTCCTAGTTGTTTGTAAAAGTTAACATTATCTGTTCTTATAATTATTATTTTAAGTTCTTAGAATTTGACATTATATTTTTAGTTTTTATAACTTTTATTTTAAGTTGTAATTAGTGGGCATACGAAAACTAAATACAGGTTCACATTTAAATGGGAAAACTAAATACGAAAATTAGAATCCGAAAATTAAATAAATGGGAAAAACATAGCAATAGCAATATTAGGTCACATAGAAAAGGCAACTAGATTGTTCCACTGCTGCACCCGGTCATGATATAACGCATCCCAGCCCTCTACGCTTGCTGTACGAATGGTGTACCACGTTGGTATAATCGGTGGGACCGGAAAATCGGGTGACAGGTCCAGTCGGATGAAATGTCTGTATGACGGCCCCAGAAATCCAATAGCAACCTCTCTTACCGGTCTGGTGACGGTCTCACGCGAACACCAAGGCAGAACCGTGGTACACGGATAGTAAGCTCGACCATGCAAACCAAGGCCGAAATGCATCACTGCACACTTGTAGATGTTTGCAACGGCGAAGAGATCAAGGGGCGCGTCGAACCAATGATTTTGACCGCAACGTCCTCCTCCCCACCGGATACGCTGCAGAGACCTATCCAAGTCCTGTCCGTACACGTGGCGATAAACAGCTCGGTTTGAGGCGATTTCACTGTACATCAACTGACGCACTAAACCGTAGTTGTCTTCACCCATCTGAAACACATCAGCCACAACCCGAAATCCACAGTTACCATCTGCAACCACATCATTCCACCCGTCCAGGAACGGCATCATGATGTTAGGGATCCTGTCTTTATATGGAAAATGTTCAATGTCCATTCTGCCTGTTGCACACATCAAAAAACACAATTAACAAGTTAGCAGAAAACTAAACAAACACTCTAAAAAGTAAATTAAACTAAAGTACCGTACCGGTGCCGGGCATATTCACCGACGAAGATGTTTGACTACCACTTGATGACGATGTACGACCACGGCCACGACCACGACCACGACCACGAATGTACTCAAACGCACTCCTTTCCCGCCGTGGTTGTCGGCCCCGTGGTCGCTCGACCCCCTCAGGTTCCTCATGATCCAAGCACGACGAGTTGAACATGTCATGAAGTACGTGGGTAGCACTACGAATGACTGAAGGGTGGCTGGAGGACACTTGGTCAAACATCGAACGAAACTGCTCCAACTCCTCCTGTTCACGGTTGACTGTCTGTGGAACAGCATGCTCTCCGATAACGAGCGTCCGCCAGAATGTATGAACCTGATCAACATGTAACGACGCCCTATCTTGCGTAATTACGCGGTGAATGGTGCATGCACAAGGTAGTCCATGAGTCACCGATATAGCACATCCGCACCGAATAGCCACTTCATCACCCAACTCCCTCATCCTGGTGTGCTCGCTCAGAATCAACCCCAAGCAGTAGTGTGACACACGACCATGGAGAATCTTAAATATGAAATGGCTATACATCGTGCCATGTCGCCGTCTGGAGTCCTCGAGAGAGTTCTTGATGCCGTTCCTCTGAGTATCAATAGCCTTGTTTATTCTCTCGAACAGTGTATCCAGAGCAGAGGTGGAAGAATCAATCCAGTCCTTCAGAGCTCTATGAGCGCTCTCAACTCTACATGTAGTAGTGTTTCCAAAATGAAGAACTTGGTTTGTCCAATATTTGACAAACTTTTCCCTCTGAGGCACCCACTGCTGCATCACATAGTCTACGATTGCCGGGCACCATTGGTATGCATCCTTGAAGTTATCCAAGGCTCGGTCGTACTCTGCCTCCGTGGTAGCTTGCAGGATCTTCCGCCACTTACCATTTACCAATCTCTCTGCTGAATCTAAGTTCTTGTTGAAAAGGTTGTAGGCTTTGACTTTCACGCATTTGTTGATGTGCCATGTGCACAGTAAATGGCTCGACTCCGGAAACAGCTCCGCTATAGGGGCAAAGAGACCTCCCTCACAATCGCTGACGATGGCCGATGGCTGAACACTTGGGCCGATGTAATTTCTCAACTTCTCCAACACCCAACGGTAACTCGCAACCGTCTCATCCTTCATAACTGCATAACCAATCAAAAAGTTCTGGTTCGTTGGAGTCATCCCAACCATCTCAACCAGTGGAAACTTATACTTGTTTGTCTTGTACGTTGAATCGATCAGAATCACAGATGGCCAAGACGAAATCATATCAGCACAATCAGGATGCACAAGGAACAAATGAGTCACCTCCGATGTGTCTTCATCAGATTCAAACCAGTACAGGTAACCACGTGCTTGTGCCTGGTGTAGAAGCTGCTGTATAGGGTTCCTTCCCTCTGACCGTTCAAACCTCAATTTATGTCTGACGTTGTAGATGTGTCTTCGGTTTGGCTGGTCTTCAGGAAATTTCTCCAACACAGATGCTAATATTTTAGCAGGCTTCACTTGAGCATCACTCATTTCTTTTACAATTAGTTTCGCAGCAGGACTTAGGCCACTTAACTGTCGATGACCCACTTCATATGCGATCATCTCATGGTTGTGATACCCCCATTTACCGTAACTCTTCACTTCCCAACCGTCACCCCTTTGCTGTTGTCGAACCTTTACTCTGAACTGACACCCACAACCTTTCCGCTTTGTATCAAACCGAATCGCTTGACTGAAATCTCGTTCCTCCCTTTTGCGATAACGGTCGCATCTCAAAATGCGATCCATTCTACCATCCCGTTGAGATTTATGAGTTGCTACTACTAAACAAAAACCTGATCTAATTGCAACCTGTTTCGCCCAATCAACCGCTTGTTGAGCATCTTCGAACAGACCATCGTGTACAAAAATCCCACTATAATCATTTCCGTCTCCACCATAATCCTGCAACAATAACATATAAATATAATCACATAAGAGTAGATTAAATTAATACATTTGACACAACATTAGCACAAAAGCAAAAACAATAATAAATTATAAACAACAAACAAAGAAATAAACAAAAAGTATTCAAAAAAAAAAAAAAACAAAACACAAAAATAAAAAACATAAACAAAACTTTAGATTAAATAAATAAAAATAAACCAAAAAAATAAAAACAAAAAAAAAACATAAAACGAAAAAAATTGTAAAAAAAAAAATAAAAAATAAATAAATTAAAAACAAAAACAAATTAAAACAATTAAAAACAAAACAAAAAAAAAACCAAAAAAAAAGAAAAAAATTGTAACACAAAAAAAAAAAAAATAAACAAATTTTAAATTAAATTAAAAAAAAAAAAAAAAAAAATAGTGGTGGCGCCTAGCCAGGACGCCGCCACCGTGGCGGTGGCGTCTAGCCAGGACGCCGCCACCGTGGCGGTGGCGCCTGGCCAGGACGCCGCCACCGTGGCGGCGGCGTCTTGGCCAGACGCCACGGCCACGGTGGCGGCGTCCTGGCCAGGCGCCAGAGCCACGGTGGCGGCGTCCTGGCTAGGCGCCACCACTACGGTCACGGCGTCCCGGCAGGACGCCAGCCGCCAATTCGTGGTTTTAGATGGCTTCGTACCTCCTTTTCCGGCGTCAACGGCGTCTCTCCGGTGCATCTACCCGACGTTGAGGGCTCTTCGGTTTCACTCGGCGATCCAGTCCTGCTCCACATTTTTTATGAGTGAAAAATTTTATTTTCGGTAAAAATTAAAACAAGGGCAATAATGTCAACATTTTTAAAAAATGTGGGCTTTATGTAGAAAAACGCGGGCGATGTTTAACAAATTCCTAAATTATGCCACTCCGTAATTATTTAGACACGAAAAGAGTATTACAAATAGTGTATAAATAAAATAAAAAAAATCCTTTAATCACACGACTCTCTCTCCTAGTCTCCTCTGCAAAAAATTCTCCCTTCATAAAACAAAGCCCACCAAACTTTCAGCCCAAAAAAAAGAAAATAAAAAATTTACAACGTTTCCTTTCACGCAACTTTTATTTTCTCTCTCAAACTCTCCAAATTTATCAACAAAATTTCGGTGTGATCAATTTATCTGTTGAATTTTTTATCATCTGTTAATATCTTTCTTTATTTAGGTGTATAAAAATCATAATCTATATTATTTGATTGTAATAAGTATATAATTAGAAAGTGATTTTTAAAAAAAGTTGGTTAAAAAAATTAGTAGTTGAATGTATGGCGTCGATGTCAGATACCAAGGAATCATCGTCGGAAAATATGGCGGTTTCCGGCGTTGCGATGAGTTTTCCGATCAATGATTGTTCTTCTTCTCCGACTTCTCCGGCGAAACTTCCTCGGAGACTTCGTCGCCGACTTTCTGAGTGTCGGAATACTCCGACTGCTGAAGAAATCGACGCTAAACTTAAAGAAGCCGATCTTCGTCGTCAGGTTTTAGTCTTCCTTTTCATTATTTGTGTTCGAGATGTTGAATTTAAGTTTAAATTAGTGTATAATTGTTGAATTGATGTTGCGTTAGGGTTTTAATTTATGTCTTTTTGTTATTTAGTGTGAAAGTTCTCTTATTTTTACGTTGAATGTATGTGCAATTTTTTTTTTTTTTTTAATTTTAGTGAAAGGTAGTTTGATTTTGATAATATTTTGTTAATTTGTGGGAAATAATCAGGGTTAATTAACGGGGTTTTGGTTTATACTGTAGTGTTTTTCTCTGTTTGTGTGTTTGATTGCATAATTTTGTGGTTCGTTGAATAAAAGTGTGATTTTTTTGCACTTCATATTTTCTACTCGTAATTTTTTTTTCATTTTGGTTGATTTCTTGTGATTAATTGTTTGATTGGATATGAAGAAATAGTACGTTGTTGATTTTGTACAATTGATTATTAGAAAGTTATTAAATTGTTGGTAATTTTGTTTCGGAAATTTTATGTTAAGTTTAATTTTTTTTATTAGTTATAGCATTAGATGTCTTTCTTTCTTTTTAATTATCTGCTTTGTCTTAGAATTCTATGTCCAAGACACCGTTTTATTTGTGTTGGATGTGGTTTTTTTTTTTTTTTTTAATATTATTTTTTTATGGTAAATAATGTGGATAATTATTGTTTTTAGGAATTTTATGATTTGATCAGAAAATCGGGGGTTGTTTTTGGTAGTTTGTTGAAGAGAGATGGAGTAATATGCTTTGAAGCCTCTTCACTGAACCAGTAGTACTGTTAGAACTGAAGTTTTTATCTCCATTAGTCAGTGTGTTTTGCATAATTGCTATATAACCGTCTGCAATTATTTTTACATATGTCATGGATACTGATATTGTTTCCGAAAGTCTCAAGTTACTTATGCTCTTTTTGGTTTTGGTTGATGGCAGCAATTCCATGAGTTTTTGTCAAGCAAAGCAAGGCCGAAGCAGAGGAGCCCATCATGGTCATCTTCACAAGAATTGGATCTTGGTCAGAGACTTGAAGCTAAGCTTAATGCAGCCGAGCGGAAAAGGTTTGTGTTTGCTTGGTCCTTTGTTGTCTTCCTATTGAAAAAACATTGATAAATTACTTCAATGTAGAGTTGTTCTTTCTTTTAATCTGATGAGTTGATTACATGGCTGTTCTTGTATTTTAAAGGATTTTTATGTTATTCAAAAGGAAATATGTTACTCCAAGTGCGCTTCATGAGGAGAAAAAAAAAATGTTTCCTTTGGTGCTTAAAATCAGTGCTGCTGCTTGATTTTTACTGTATACAATTATTTGACTCTCCTTTAATGTTAGAATAAGGCCCTTTTTGCCTTTTGTTTTGTTTGGGGTTGGAACTGTGTGCATGTTTTTTCTTTAATTTGAAGTATAATTTCCTGATATTTATAATATTACCAGATTTTTTTCTTTCCTTGTACTTGTTATAAATATGTTCTGATTTTTTTTTTAAATTGTTCTGAAAATCTTGGATGACTTTTTACTGAAACAATTTCAGCTACAATGGAAATTATGTGGCATGTTTTAATATTTCATGATGTTGTAGGTTGAGCATTCTTTCAAAGGCTCAGATGCGCTTGGCTAGGTTGGATGAGTTACGACAAGCAGCTAAAAGTGAGGTGAAAATGCGTGTTGAGAAAGAACGTGATGAATTGGGTATGAAAGTGGAATCACGGGTTCAGCAAGCAGAGGCAAACAGAATGCTTATCCAGAAATCTCGTAGGCAGCGGAGAGCTGCAAGAAAAGAGCGGACTGCTCAATCATTAATGCGGAGGACGATGCAGGAAAGTAAATACAAGGAGTGTGTGCGTGCTGCTATCCACCATAAGCGTGCTGCTGCAGAGAGGAAGAGACTAGGATTGCTGGAAGCTGAGAGGTCTAAGGCACATGCAAGGTTGGTACGAGTACAGAGAGCAGCTAATTCTGTTTACAGTCAGCGGGAAATGGAGAGGAAAAAAAAGAGAGAACAACTGGAAGATCGGCTGCAAAGGGTATGTATATTATCTACTACATATTATGTGTTTGTCTTCTGTCAGCCATTCAATATAGTTTGTTAGTTGTCGGAATCTACGAATCCAATTAGTTGTTTAAAACTTTGTACAACTGAATCCAAATGTGGTCTAACATTTATGATTTTGGGACGGATGGAATATAATTCATTATAGTTGGTAGTTTATGGTGTCCTTTTACAATTTGTAACTAATTGATGTGGCTGATGACAGGCCAGAAGACAACGAGCTGAAATTTTGGGGCTGAAAAAGAGTATAACTGGTTCTCCTCGCATAAATTGTAATGTCACAGATGACCAGGCTTTAAATCTTGCAAGAAAATTATCAAGGTGAAGAATTTATATTGTAGTAGCTGTTGGTTATGGATTTATATGCTTATTGGTGATGGCAATTTCTATCTTGTATATTCCATTGTCTGTTACTTATATTTGTATATTAAAATCATAATGGTGAAGTTCAATCATGCTAACTCACTTTAAAAGCTGGATGGAGTTATTGTCTGCTGCATAGGCAATTATAGAAGCATTATTGTCCTCTATATTTTATTAAAAAAAAATTTGGACAAGTTTTCCTTGGCAATCAGTGTGGGCACATAACTATTTGATTTTTCTCCCGAGTGTGGTTGTATGCTGTGAATTGTTGATGCAATGGCAATTCCTTGTTTTCATTGGCAATTGATTTAGATTTTGCTACATATGTTATTCCTCTGCTTCCAATTTCTGAGTATTGTTTTGCCATGGCATTGGTTGTAGGTGCTGGAGACGGTTTGTGAAATTGAGAGGAACTACTTTTTCTTTAGCAAAAGCTTTTGAGGATTTGAATATCAATGTCAAATTAGTCAAGACGATGCCCTTCGAACAGCTTGCAGTTCTTATTGAGTCAGATACGACTTTAAAGGTTGTGAAATCTTTGGTTGATCGACTTGAAGTCTGTCTCAGGGTCCGACAGGGAAGTAGTGGTTCCTTTGGGTTGGAAAATATTGATCACCTGCTGAAGCGTGTTAGCAGTCCAGTGCGCAGGCGTAATGGAAGCCATGCATCCAGGACCAGGGGACAAAAGAGAGCTGTATCTAGGGGAGAAGGAACTCATGGCCCCAGTAAATTGTCAAGATATGCTGTGAGGATAGTTCTTTGTGCCTATATGATACTGGGTCATCCAGATGCCGTTCTAAGTGGTAAAGGTGGGCATGAAACAGCCCTTACTGAGGCTGCTGTGAAGTTTATTCAGGAGTTTGAGTTATTGATCAGGATAATATTAGAAGGTTCCTGTGTCAAATCTACATCAGGGGAAAATCTTGCAAGTTTTAGGGCGCAGCTGGAGACATTTGATAAAGCATGGTGCTCGTATCTGTATTGCTTTGTGGTATGGAAGGTCAAGGATGCCAGACTACTAGAGGAGGATTTGGTGAGGGCTGCTTGCCAGATGGAGCTATCTATGATGCATACCTGTAAGCTGACACCTGGGGGAGACAGTAGTGGTCTTACTCATGACATGAAGGCTATTCAGAAGCAGGTAAGGAATTAGTAGAACTTTATCTTTTACATTCCATACAATTCTATGATAATTTCATAATTTGATGGTCCCCTTGAATAATTTGGATGATGCTAGGTGATGGAAGATCAGATACTTCTTAAGGCAAAAGTGCAGGATTTGGGTGGTGATGCTGGCATTGAACGCATGGAGAATGCTATTTCTGATGTGCGATCCAAATTCTTTGCATCAAGGGAGTCTGGAAGTCCATTTGCATCCCCTGTAGCTCATATATCATCTCCTGGTTATTCTAGTTCATCAGACAGCTCACCATCTTCAGTCTCTGGTGAAGCAAGCAGCATGGCTGGTGGAAGTGCAAGACCAAGCGCTGCGGTACGGTCGTTGTTCAAGGATGATAATACAACTGCAGGCCAAGCAGTGATTTCATCTGTACCAGAAGAACGCGGTGCAGATGTCCAATTAAGTGGTGACAAAGAGCCAGTCTCTGAGAATGAACTCTTGGTAAATGAGATAGTCCATGAACATCGTCATGGTTTTGCCGACAAGCTTTACATGGATGATCAAGATGACAGTGGTATCAAGGTGTGTTCATGTTGCGTTGGTGCCTTTTGTTCTTGTATCTTTTTGAAATATTTGATGGATGCATTAGTCGTGTGCTTGTATTGGCTTACACATGTGAAATCTTGAACCTGTCATATGTCCATGCAGGCTCAAATTAAAGAGGCGATGGAGAAAGCATTTTGGGATGGCATCATGGAATCTATGCAGCAGGAGCTGCCTGACTTCAGCTGGGTTCTTAAACTCATGACAGAAGTTAGGGATGAACTGTGCGAAATGTCTCCCAATGCCTGGCGACAAGAGATTTCTGATACGATCGATATAGATATCCTTTCACAGGTAGTTTAATTGTTTTTAGCACCCCACCCCCCTAGACATCATAGATAGACCATGTTTTCTATAATTGAAATAAAGTATTTCAATTTGAAATGTCTAAGGTCTTGTTTGCTTTCATATTTTGTTAGATTCATATTATTTGGTATTTTGTTTGATTCGTTCTATTGTGTTTTGTATATTATAGAATTCCAATTTTCATATTTTTGATTAATTCTGGATTAAAGATATATGACAATAATTAACAAAGATAAGATTATTTTTTTGTTTTGGTCTGGTTTGGTATATGTTTTTATGGTCTGATCTGATGCGGTCTAATGACTCTAATCTTAATTATGATAAGTAATAAGTTGACAGAATATTGTGGAGAAAACATAACCTTATTTGTAGTTATTTAGTTTTTTTTTTTTTTTTTTTTTTTTTTTTTTTTTTTTTTTATATAGGTTTAGAGCCTCTTTATCATAAGCTGTATTATTATATACACGTTGATGACTCTCCTTTGTCTTTCTAGGTTTTAAGTTCTGGAACATTGGACATAACTTACCTGGGAAAATTACTGGAGTATGCACTGACAACTCTGCAAAAGTTATCAGCCCCAGTAAATGATGATGAGAGGAAGGCTGCTCACCTGAACATGTTGAAAGAACTGAATGAGGCCTCGCCGCATTCTGGAGATAATACAAAATCTTCTTTTGCCATATCAATTGTCAAGGGTCTTCATTTTGTCCTAAATGAGATTCAGGTTTGTTTGCTCTTTGTGTCTTTGTTTAGGTTCTTTATCTCCTTGCAATAACATTTTAATTAATTCATTTTATTTACAATGTTCGTGTTGTATTTTATTTCATCATGTAGAAACTGAAGAAAGAGATAAGCAGAGCACGTATCAGAATTATTGAGCCAATGATACAAGGGCCTGCTGGATTGGACTATTTACAAAAAGCTTTTTCAAAGCGATATGGATCACCTTCTGATGCTTCTAGTTCATTACCATTGACATTGAGTTGGATGACTTCATCAAGCACTAATTTGGAGCAGGAGTGGGATGAATACTTGGATTCACTGTCAACGTTGCCAGATATCCAGGTGACATCTCCTCAGGGGATACCACCAACTACTCTTCGCACGGGGGGAAGTGTTTCAGTGTTGTCGAGGATACGCTCATTGGGACCCCCCACCACTGGTATGATGTTGGAAATTTGATGAGCATCTCGTTCTTTTAATTTCGGACAAATTTATAAGGAGTCCATTAATTAGAGATTATATGGCATCCATATAGAGTTATCTTAAAGTCAAGTACTAAATCATACTGCATTTTTTTTAGAAATTCTTTCACAATTGTTGAGAAGCAACATGTAGATAAATTGGTCAAAATTATGGTGGATTTCCATTTAAACTGTTTGATCTTACATACTTTCAGGTAAAGAGCAACCGGAGTGCAGAGGAGATAGGACAGATTTGTTTCTCAGGGTTGGTTTATTGAAGTTAGTGAGTGAGATTGAAGGTCTGGTACAAGAATCTCTGCCTGAAACTTTGAAACTTAATGTATCTAGACTAAGAAAAGTTCAGTCTCAACTGCAGAAGATCATTGTTATTTCCACAAGGTTTGTGTAACTTCTTTCCTATCCCTCCCTTCTGCTTGCATGTAACATTGGATGGTTGCTAATATTCACTCTCTTTCTTTGCAGTATGCTGGTTCTTCGACAAGCTCTTCTTAGTGAACACTTGGTAACTAACCCATCAGACATGGAGAACATAATCTCTCAAGCTGCCAAACAGCTTTCGGAGTTGCTCGACAAGGTTGAAGATGTTGGTATTGCTGATATTGTCAAAGCAATTATTGAGCTCCCAGATGATGTTAACCATGTTATCAACTTGGAAAAGCTGCGAGAAAAGAGGGGTGTGGTGGAGAACATGCTCTCTAAGAGCTTGAAATCTGGGGATGCGATCTTTTCGCATGTTTCTCGAGCTGTTTACTTGGCTGTAAGAGCTGCCATGTTTGGTGGCACCGGAAGCAAGGGTAGGCAATTGGTGGAGATGGCACTTCGGCGTGTGGGATCTACTTTGCTCACTGATAAGGTAGTAGAAATTGCTGAAGTTCTTATTGGTATGGCAGTTGTGTCTGCCAGTGTACATGGGCCATGGTATGAGCAGCTGCTGAAGAATGTTTAACTTGTTAAGAATAAATCATAGTGGGGGAGTGCTTTTTAAACATATCCCAAAATTATTGTATATATTGTAAATGTTATTATGTGTAGCAAGGAATTAGGGTGTGGCGATTTAGTTATTCGATTAATGCTTAGTAAATTATGATGTAAATAACATTTGGCATTCTTAATAAATATTGTTCCTGCTGTAACTTTTATGCTCCTAGACTGCCTCTATATGGACCAAATTTGATCTGTAATTGTATTGCATTTGTTTGTGTACGGCGTAGAATGGCAAGACTGTAAACCACCAAGAAAATTGTCGTCTGGAAGTCACATTGTTGTCACATTGTACTAATATGTCACCTGGATTATATCAATTACCAAGATAATTGTTGCGGTCCTTCCTGAAGGAGTACAATGATACATATGAGCCAGACACAGACAAATTTGACAAGTTGAAAACTGAAACTATGTGATTAATGGGAACTTGTTATATGAACGTTTAGGGGCAAAGCGGATGCTGATACAATTTCAAAACCACAGTAAAAATCTTACAAACTACACCGACAAAATAAAAAGAGCTGTAAAGCTATGAATCAAAAATGGATGGCGTCAACTGTATTTTTGTGGCTTGAGCAATAAAAGCTGATGAAAAATCTCTTTAGCCTCCATGAGTACCATGACGAAAAACAAGAACAGATCGATATAGGGCAGCTACATGCAAAAAGCAGATAAGTACCAGGATCAGATCATCCACAAGGCCAATGATCCCAAGTACTCCTGAAAAAGGAAAAATTTGCACGTCAAATTGCTCCTTTTAACGGCCAATGCATACAATTGTGTGTTAATTGAGAAATTTTACCTTCAGGAATAATGTCCACGGGGCTCAATACATATATGACACTGCAAAACACCTGAAATTACAATGCTGAAGGTTACTCTATGCACAATTCACTACAGAACAAAAAATTTTGTGGGTTGACAAGTTCACTTAACTGCCAAATAAATTCGAGCTCTAATTATAAATGGCAGAGATCTCTGAGGATCCATCAAATCACGCAATAACCTTCGAAGCAGAAAGGGAAGGTCTCGCAATCTCTGATAAAACATAAGACTATAAGAGATTAATTGAACAAGGAAATTATAGGCACCCCAAAACTATACGAGGTATAACACAAAAGTAGAAGCCACCATTCATCCATGACAAGGAGTCAGATTTTATTTTATTCCTTTGTACGTAGTTGTGGTTTAAAAAGGGAACAAAAATTTGAGATTAGCATGCAAGCTTATACATACGTTACATCAAAGTCAGGTATTCTAGTATTATTGAGGACCAACAAGGGATACTCCAATTGCAAACATACAGTATAAATCATGTTCTACGACTACATTTCAGCAGTTTTTTAGCTCAAAATTGCAGCACTCTTAAGTGCAAAGCAATAAACGTCAATCATGCAACTCCAGCAGGAAATAACATGAGATTTAATTCAAAATTCAGGGTATAAGGTCTTAAACAGGACAAATAAACTATATCTGCAGCAAACTTGTAAAGAAGCAATGAATCATGTAAAATGATACATGAACCAGAAAATCTCCATCTGTCAAACAAATGCAGGTCATACCATTATACCTACTGCCCCTGCTCAACACTATGCAAAAATATGAACAAACCAGCCTAAAGACTTGTCTAATGAGTACAAAACGTCAATTTATATATTATACTCTTTCATAATTAAAGATTCACTATAAGTTCTCTAATGTAACCTTTATAAAAATAAGTACCTGCATGAGATCACTGGATCGTTCACCATATTGACGGTTATATAATTCAATCCTCCCTATAATATTTGCAACTTCTGGATTAGCCCTTTGTTCCCGGGAAGATTCAGTAGGTATTAACAAACTAATGGGACGGCGACACAAAGGACATAAGCATGGTCGCAGTGCTGATGCATGATCCCAAACTCGTAAAATACACCCCCCTGTATTGTTAATAAAACATGAATCAGTCAATAATAGCACTTGCTTGCAAACATGCCAAACAATAATAACAAAATATCCAGCAACTCCATGTTATATATACGTATCCTCAAGTTGTTTGCTGTAAGGTAAAAGTGTTTTTAAAATAATCTGATTTGATTAAATTCTCAACCAAAAGTGGTGAGACTGGAGTCAACTATCTGTGAAGTTTACATTTCATACATCAGATATCATTTGCAACTATATACAACAATTTATGATCTATCTCATGGACTTCAGCATATGATCTATCAGATGAACATGTTAGCATGGTCCTAAACAAAACAACAAATGTGTTTCCCACCAGCTCTTAGTAAAGTGCTAGATATACACAAAACCAACCCAAAACTAAGGGTGGCCGATAGGGAAACATAGCCTATACCAACCTGAAAAAGAGATAATGAAAACAGGTCTAGACAACCTACAAACATCATCCAATTTGCATCAAGGAAGTAAATTAAAAATGTACAACCACCCTCCACAAACTCGAGCAAAGATTTCAACATTTATGGGATGAACTAAGTTATATCATAAAAGCAGTTCCACTCCTTGGTTAGGATATTTCACTAGTAAAGCTAACATCATGACACGAAAATAGCGTAAACATCAGTCAACTCCACAACCACCCTAATATAGGTCAATTTGGGCGAGCAAATTACCGCCCAGCCATCAATTTACAAAAATACAAATCCCAATAACAATCAATCCAACCTTAACAAGCTAATCATTATTGTAGTCTTGTAGAGTTGTAGTTGCTCAATCAGACAAATCACATTCAACAATCCCACAACAAGCATTAAATAGTCGAATTCGAGCAAGCATATTACCACTCAAACATCAATTTATCAAAAGATGAAGCTCACAAGCAAACCCATAGCACCAATTGTGATCAATGTGATCTGGCTAAATCACATTTTCCACCATAATCAATTCCCACATTTTCCTTCTTCACAAGGATAATAATATTACTATATTAGTAAAAATCAATACACCCAAGTTCAACAATTCATCCTACCATAAATTAAAACCCCCTAAGATCGCAAGATGTAAACTTTAATTATGCTTTGATTGATTCACATACACATATACAAAGCAACCCAGAAAAGTTTCCATCTTTCAAATTCATAAATTCAGAAAAAAAAACCCCAGAACAGAAAACCAGCCTTCCAATTTCAATAATCAACAAATTAATTTCATGCTACACATGATTATACATTCATCAATTTCTTAAGCTAAATAAAAATGCAGGATTATGAATCAATAAAGAGAGAAGAAGAGAGAAAATAACCGCAAAACCAGTGAGAGCAATTAGCCTGGCAAGGAATGCTGAAGTTATCATGGCAAATCGTACAGCAATCGTTGACAGGTGGACCATCTCCCTCCATTTTTTCTCTTTGTCAATCAACCAAATTTTTCTCTTAAAATGGAAAATTTTCTAATTTTCTTAGTTATTTCTTGGTATTTGACTCTGGGTTTCTCTCCTTCATTGCTAAGTAAAATCACAATCATCAATTTAATGCGTCGTGTGATTTGAAGTCTAAATCCAATTAATTAAAATACTGATTTGTAGGCGGTGGCCCAATTTAAGTGTTCTCCTTTTTTTTTTTTTTTTTTTCCTTTCTGTTTTATAGAGGGCTATTCAATAGGTCCGATAATGTGTGTATATTGGATTTTTTGAGGCAATTGTAGATCCTAGGTGGCAATTTTAATTGGTCAATAAAAGTAAATTTCAATGCTATTTTTTTTTTGTTTTTCCGTATTTCAGTCAATCTATTGTGAAAGGTAAAAAAGGGGAAAGAAACTTTGGGCTGATTGTCCTCTAAATCTAAGTTTTCTTCTTCTGCATGTAAAAAAGGAATCAATAAATCAATTAAATTCCGGGAGGCTTCATAAAGTGCTTCTTTTGGAGTTAAACTGCCATTTCTCCATATTTCGAGAAAAAGTATTTCTTGTTTTTCATTCCCATTTCCATAAGAATGAATACTATGATTCACGTTTCGAACAGGCATGAATAGAGCATCTATCGGATAACTTCCGTCTTGAAAGTTATGTGGTGCTTTTATATGATATCCGCGATTTCTCTCAAGTTGTAATCCAATACATAAGTCAATTGGTTCCGTCAAGCTAGCTATATGCTGTGTATTATCAACTATTTCTACATAAGTTCGCTTATTTTTTTTGGAGGGCTTGTTTAGCCTAATAAGAGAGAGGGATTGAGTATACAATCATATTTTCATGACACATTTTTGAACTTGTTTAGCACATCTCCTAAGAATTGGAAAAAAAAATTGATGAATTATATTAACGTGAAACTTGTTGAGGGTAAAAATACCTCGTATACGTGGACCAATCCCATAGTGACACGTGGCCCAGTTATAGGATGACACGTGTCACCATGGGAAGATGCCACGCAATTCAGAGCCCTTAAGGTCTCAGGCCAATCTCGTAGCGACACGTGACCCAGTCAGAGGGTGACACGTGTCGTCATGAGAAGATGCCATGTGTTTAGGGCATGTGTTCCCTCTTTAATCAGCACACCAAAAAGCCCTAATAACGTCAGGGCCTAAATCCCGAGAGATACCAATGAAAGCCGTAAAACGGCGCCCTCAGGGTAACACGTGGCATTCACTGATTGCGCAGCCAATCACGCCACGCCAATCTAGGGTACAAACCCTAAAAAGGGGCACGAGTCCCACCCCTATAAATACCCCAATCATTTATGATGGGAGGGGGATTTTTTTAAAAAAAAAGACATTTATATACACAACAGAGCATAAAATAGCTCCAACTTCTCTCTACTTTCTCTCTCTAGCCTTTTTCGTTCTGATCGCTAACTTGATCATCGGAGGCGAATATTCCGTTTACCGGAATATTCGTTATTTTGCAGGTGGGACCGTCTCGTTGCCAGGAGAGCGTGACCAGTATCCGAGGAAATCCAAAAAACACCCGAAACATTTGGCGCCGTCTGTGGGGATACTCGTACGCTATGGCGATAGACGGTCAGACACCTAATCCAGGCGAGAATGGACATGTAGAGGATTTAATCCCTACAATCCGTACTAGCGATCCTCTGATAGCCACATTTCAAGAAGCTGATGACCCTCATGTTACCGCAGCCTCTCTTAAGGCCGCGCTTAACAAACTCAGAAAAGATATTGAAATCAATGGAGCCTCTACCTCTAGGCAGCCGCCCAGGAGAGAGGAGCAGAGGGCTCTAAAGAAGACGCACAGCAAAGAGGGTCCATGCAATGGACGCTGGAAACACTCCCTTTCGAAGGCCGACTGGAAGGTCCCCGAGAGTACCACTGTGGGGAATAGTTTCAAGCCTTTAAAATCCCACTATCTTGAACCCCACTGTGATCATACACTGAAGTACGGTGGCGTCCAAAAGGGAAGAAGATAGAGCAAAAGAGTCGCCAACAAGTTTTGAAGGAACTTGTAAACCGTTCACGAGGTGAAGGTTACACCCCTTAACGATCCAAGAGATCGTCAACTCCATAAGGTCATGAACCAAATAAGGGTCCGGGGATGATGGTACAAATCCAACCTAAAAGAGATTGAACCTGCCCTAATAATAGGCCTCTACTTTATTCTGCTCGTATTCATGTGCACTTTCTGACTAACATACAATCAATAGATTAACCCTAAACCTGTTTATCTATGTTGGTTGAATTTAATGTACAAATAAACTATTATTGGCGATCACTTGAAATTATAATCACAATTAACCTAACAAGATTATTAATTATCTTATCAAGCGTGATTGCAAGTACCAATTCCCTTTAACCTGCATAAAGGTGATCAAGCAATAACAATATAAAATAATATGCATATCAAGCAACATAATAAATAATCAACATCATTAACAACAATAATATCAATCATAATCATAATAAATATTAGGAAGAATATAGGAAGCATCATACTTTTAAATCATACTTAATATTAAAAACACCCTAGACATGATACTAGGAATCATAAATAACAATCTAAGCATGATATCTACATCATAAAATCAATTAAACCATTAAAGTACTTACTTGGATGCCTCGTACCTCTTTCTAATTACAAAATACACACGTTAGTAACTTCAAGGAAAATAATAATCAAAACAATTAAATTAAATAATTGAAAGAGAGATTTGGGACCAAACCCTCAGAAATTAAAACCTTTCACGTCTAGGGCGAAGGCAACTTCGAATATGGCTATGTGTTTCTAGATCTTGTGAATGCGGAATTTTGTATGAAATAGCAAAGTTTAGAAAAGAATACTAAAAGACCAATGTTATTGAAAATTGATGAATGAAAGATGATGAATGAAAACTTAAGAATAAAGAGAATTGTGAATCATAAAGTGATTGTTGATGAATGTTGATTGTAGATGATCTCAGAATAAGGAGAATTCTCCATGAAAACGGAGTTTATGATACGATATTTATAGAGAAAAACATCCAAAAAAAGATAATTTATCAAAACAGAGTCTGAAGACCACAGAACCACCTTGGCGCCAGCCCTGGCTCATTGGCGCCAGGACGAGTGGCTAGCGCCAGGCGCCAATGGCTGGCGTCTGGCGCCAATCCTGGTTCCAGGCGCCAAGGCCTGGGGTTGGACGCCAAACCGACTTTTAACGCGTTTTCGAAATTCTGATAAAATTCCCGTACTGGAAGATAAAATAATATAATTTCAGTCGAAAATGCTATTTGATCTTGATTAAAACTCTGAAGAATCCTAATTGAATTAAGAATGATAAGAACCTTCTAGAATGTTCTAGAAGACCAAAACCATTCCTAATTACATTAGGAATGATAAATCATATTAGGCCCTCCCCTAGATCATTGGGCCGTACTTAAAGCTCAAACCAGGCCCAGTTTAGTAAATTGGCCATAAATTCCACAATATTCATCGGAATTGGGCTTATAATATATCGTTGGAAAGATCTTTGCAAGCCCTATCCAACTACACCACTATTGGACCCATATCATGGACCAACCAAACTGGATTGGCTGTTTTCTTAAAATAAAGTTTTCAAAAAACAGAGAGAAGAGAAAAGAAAAGAAAAGAAATAAAACTTTCCGCAACACTAGACCTTTCCACACTTTCGTTTCATTCGATTATGATTCGACGTGAAAGGCACTCATCACTGGGTTTGGTTTTGGGGAGACACAAATGGGTGTCTACAACCACGGACTAATTTCTCTGACTTGCTAGCGAAAACGCAGTCGGCTGGGGGGAGGGGTAGGCAGCCTCGAAGAGAGGAGCCTGAGCCGTCCAGACGATGGAAGGACGCAAGAGATTACCTTCGGCATAAGCAGCGGGAGCGCGCCGCCTACTCAGACACGGCCTCAACCCCAACTATGCCGGATGATTTTTCACATCATTCTCTTTCCCAACATACCAACACGGCCATCACCAGCGGAAGTCAGGCGGTCCGCACCCCAACTCCTATTCCAGTCTTTCATGCTCCAACTCCTATTATAGCCCAATCACTGCAATATCAGCCTCCTCAGGGGTTCAATGGCTTGATGCAGCCGAACCCCCAGGCATACGGACAATATGGGCCATACGGGCAGGTGTACGGACAGGCTCCCTATCTGGCTGGACCGTCCGTGCAACCGCAACCCATCGATTGGCAGATGCGCCTACTTACTCTGGGAGATAAGCCGCCCTTGTTTTCGCAAGATATCTTAAATGCCTCTCAGCCGCCAAAGGTTAAGAGTGTACTTGTGGGAGCCTATGATGGCACGGGCAACCCAGAAGAGCACATCACCTCGTACGGGAACCTGATGTACTTGCAAAGCGTAGATGACGCTACTTGGTGAAAATGTTTCCCGGCCATTCTGAAAGGTGTGGCGCAGGATTGTTCAACAGTTTGTCGGCTGGATGTATAAATTGTTTTACTACTCTTAGTATGCTGTTCGTGGGAAATTTTTCATACAACATACCGCCTCAAAAGACTAGCCTTAATTTGGCTACAATCGTCCAAGGAAAAAATGAGGGCTTACGCTCGTACGTCCAACGATTTAACCAAGAAAAAGCCCAAATTCATAATCTGCCGGACGAAATGGCTTACTCCGAATTTCTCCGGGGATTAAGGCACAATGGTTTTAAGTTTGACCTGGTAAGGAAAAAGATTATACGCAGGTGTTCTGCGGGAAGCCGAAGCTTATATTGAGGCGACGAACTTTTGTTCGCTCACGAAAATAGAAGCGCCGACCAAGGGGGCTGAGTAAAAACCTTCTCAGCAAGACTCGGCCGGCCAAAAGAAAGAAGGAAAAAAGAGAAAGGAAGTCTGGGTGGCTGATGCCCAGCCACAGAAGTCCAAGAAGGTCAAGGCGTACGAGCCTCAGTTTGAATTCAACAAGGATTGTTATTCTATCCTGATGGAATTCAAGGATAAGTTTGAATTTGAGAAGCCACAACCGCTGAGAGGCCCGGCTCAGTTAGGAACAAGAACATGTATTGTCATTACCACAAGGACGTGGGACATGACACGAAGGATTGTATCAACTTGAAGAGACTGCTGGACAAACTAGCCGAGAAGGGCATGCTGAATTTGTATGTGATGAAGTCCAAATTCACTTACACACGGACAAACAACACGTCCGAGCAAAGACAGAAGAATGATAAGAACAAAGATAAGGAACATGATGGCAACAACACTGATTCAGGTTTTGTGGCCGTGATATCAGGAGGATTTGCCTCAGGCGGCCCCACTATGAGAGGGATCAAGCAGGACGCCCGCAACTTGGGAAAGGTGATGCAAATGGACTCTATAAAGGCCGAACCTTTCCCTGAAGTAATCATTAGTGAAGCCGATCGGGGGGAGGTTAAAGCCTTGCACAATGATCCCATGGTATTCATTATGAAGATAACCAATTTGAAGGTCGGACGAATATTGATAGACACGGGTAGCGCGGCTGATATCATCAGCCTGGCCGCCTTGAAGAATCTAAGCTTCCCAGAGGATGCTCTCCAGGACATCACTCACCCGTTGGTCGGATTTGGGGGGAATGTCATCCACCCGGTAGGGCGGATAGACTTACCTGTCCGATTTGGGAAAAAAGGGGAAGGAAGAGATATGGTTGTCCGCTTCTTGGTTGTGAAAGAACTGACTGGATATAATGTCATACT